AAATGACTCTTTCAATTGGTTCTGAGGCCGTGGTTTTTAGGCCAGAATCCTATTCTGCACTCCCTCCTTGCCTTCACCCATTTTTTCCTCCATTACCTGGTCCTCATCCTCCATTTCCAGAGTTCTCATTTAGTAACCCTGGCTTTTGCTGGATAATCTTTTACAGTCCTGACTCTGAGCAGTGACTTTGCTTTGTTCAAAACACACAACATAAAAGACATTTAGCTTCTCTGGGTTAATTGAGAAGTGTTCCCTCTGTAGGCTGGGACCACGCCCTTCTGAATCTTCACCAGAACTGCAGTAACTCAATTACGGAGACAAAGTCGGCCTTTGCTCCCAACATGTCCGTACACATATATGCACATCTAAAAAGAATCTCTGCACTGCATCATTAATTATTAATACTTCCAGTAAAGGTAATTAACAATAAAAGATGCCTCATGAGCATCTCACGGGTGGTACCAGCTTGGCAGATTGTCAGCTCCCACCTGTGTCTTTCTCGTGCACATTCCCGGGGGCGAGTCTCCCGTGCAGGTCTCCTAACCTTTATAATGGTAAGAAGAGAAGATGGCAGTGATGAAGCCCATATGATATTCTCAGCATCCCTGCCCAGGCCTTCCACAGCCACTGCTCAGAGTTAGGAGATCAAACCACCAGCTTTTCTCCCGATGATTCTTTTATTTGGAAAATATTCACGAAGTTCCCATACTATTGTGTGTATAGTATTATGGTGAGTACTTTTGCAAATTGAGGTTGAGTAAGAAAGATTGGTGATAGCTGGGAACAGAAATATAACATGGGCAAGGTGTGAGAGGAGTGAGACTGCCTGGGTTCAGATCTCCACTCTATCCTTCCCCATGAAAGACTCGGCATTCTATGCTTCAGCTCCTCCTCTGTAAGGACAGAATGACACGAAGTCCTACCTTATATGATTGTTTAGAAGGGTTAGATAAACTCAGTAGTACCAAGTGAGTGTCAGACATGCAGTGTGTGTCTGCGCACACAGGGGGTTAGAACCCCTCCCTACAGCATGATTTATGGGGAAAAGTCTAGTGGGCCCTGGGCTGGAGAGTACTATTTATTTGCCAATTAATCATGGGGTACAGGGTACCATCTTAGTGTCTCCCGGGGTTGAAAACGTAGTTTCAAGGAGGAGGCCACTTCATCTTTGACATTTGAGATTGGGATTATGTCCTCCTTTTACTTTTTGTCAAACATTTTTGAGTGCTCCATTTTAATATGTCAACCATGTGGCTTTTCTTTCTTGGTAGAAAGAGTAAAGAGAGACCAAATTGAGGGTTACAGAGAAGAAATGACATCTTGCCCAATGTAGGGCAGAAAAAGTAGTACCTTTTCCTCACTCTGATTGCAAGGTTCAAGGCTGAGATATCTGTAACAAAAGACAGATTAATAAGAGAAAAATGTACGTTATTTTAAGCCAAAAGTACCTATTAAGTGGTTCAGAACCCAAACCAATAAGCCTTTTCTGACTTAACTGTGGACAAAAGAAACATTCTCGAAAGATGCAAAGAGCAGCAGCCCTCCCAGATCCAGACCCAGTTTAACAAAGATAGCCAAAAAAAAAAAAAAAAAAAAGAGAGAGGCAGCTAACTGCCCCCTCTAAGAGCTGGCAACAGTTGTTATGATAGCTGCAAATGGGGTGAAACTCACATTTCTGTCTGGCCACATTCTTGGGGCCCCCAACATGAAGTTGGCCACCTGCATACACAAAACTGACAAGTTGTGTGCCCAGACAGGCAGAAAGTTGAGCCAAGTTATCAGGACACCAATCGACATGAGGAAGGCGACAGCTGCCCTGTGGGAGGGAAAGGGTCAACTGCAAATGGGAACCCTGAAATCAAGTTCACCCAGAGCTATAGTACAAACCAATGTTTTGCTCCTGTTATTCTGAATTTGGGAAGGAAGGGATAAGGAGACACTTTTACTCTCCTTTCTTGACTAAGCACGACAGATAGGGATCTCGTTGGCAAACCCAACTGGGGTCTGCTCGCCCAGCTGGATAAAGCCAGATGCTGACTCTGAGATTTGCAATGAAAGAAGAAAGTACTTATTGCATGTGCCAAGCAAGGAGAATGG